AGACCAAGAAACCTTGACATGAGTCCTAGGAAACTGTGAGCCAGAATAAATATTTCTTCCTTTAAGTTCTCTCAGTCAGGCATTCTGTCAGAGCAAAGGCAAAAGTGATATATTGTCTGAATCTAGTCAAATAATTTATCTTCAACAACACAGCTTTGAGATGTCTAAGCAAAGCAAGCACTTCAACAAGACAGGATAGTCACTCTTCTTCTAGGGCTTAGTTTTACCCATGATTCTTAGTATATAGAACCGATAACCCATACCAACATTCACTGTTTCCACAACAAAGTCATGTACCACCATGCGCATGTGGATCAAGTGAGTGAATACTTTGGTGTTCCCCCTTTCTTCAATATTTGTAACTGAAATGCAGCAATTGCCGCAAATCCACCTTCCTGTCGGGGCACATGGTGATTTCTTAGCTTTTCTGATCAGTTTAGATACCTGATCTTCATCATGGGAAGAAAAAGAAACATCTGTGCTGGTTGACACAATGATGCTTGAAGAATCTTCCAAAAATAACAAAACCCCTCATGATTCAACTAGCATCTCTCATCTGCTTTGAATTTGAACTTCAGAGTGTCACAGATAGGGGTAAGTTTTCAATATAAGATTCTTGTAGCAAGTAGGTTTTTGCTCATGAGAAGAAAGTTGTGAAATATTGTAAAATATAGTATTGAGTTATACCTAGCCAAGTTTCATGTTTTCTGGCAATTTTACATTTTAATGTGGAAAAGTTTTAATAGTTTAGACTAGAATGAGGTTGGTTACCATTGCCTTTCAAAGGCAATTCTTCATTTCAGAGATAGGGGTATAGCTCAGTGGCAGAGAGCACACTTAGCATACTTAGCAAGTCTCTAGGCTCAATCCATGGCATAAAATACTGGTATTATATTCAATAATACTTATAGACTATGTGGCATTATTTTCATTTGCAGTTTTTAAACAAAAATTATCATTTGCTAAAACTGCTTATTAATTACAAAATCAAGAAAGGATGGTCTCAAACCTAATTTCTTTTTAAAAAACATTTTATCTATTATTTTTATTTTATGAATATGAGTATATTATCTGCATGTAGTTAGGTGCATCCATGTTGTGCAGTGCCTGAGGAGGTCAGAAGGAGGTGTTGGATCCCCTGGAACTGGAATTATGGATGGTTTTTAGCTGCCATGTGTGTGGCTGGGAATCAAACTTGGGTCCTCTGCAAGAATAGTCAGTGCTCTTAATCACTGAGCCATCTCTCCAACCCCTCAAACCTAAGTTCTTTAACTCTGAATCATCCTCATGTGACAATTCTTTCAGTAACTGAAGTAATATTATCCTTATTTTATATCTCTGACAAAACAGAAATCACCATGGTTTGTGAAAATAATCTCACTTTTTTGGGGGGGTCTTTTTGAGACAGGGTCTCCCTGTAGTCCCAGCTGGCCTGGAACTCACCATGTAGACCAGGCTGGCCTTGAACTCACAGAGCTCCACATGCCTCTGCCTCCCAAGTACTGGGATTAAATAATCTCACTTAAAAAAAACTATTTTCTTTATTATTTTTATTTTATGTGTATGAGTGCATTGCCTGCATATATGTGAGTGCACCCGTGTCATGCAACACTGCGGAGGTCAGAAGAGGGCTTTGGATTTCCCAGGAACTGGAGTTAAGGACGGTTCATAGCTTCCATGTGGGTGCTGGGAATCGAACCCAGGTCCTCTACAAGAGCAGTCAGTGCTCTTAACCACTGAGCCATCTCTTCAGCCCTGATAATGTCACTTTTTTAAAGCAAAATAAATCTCACACTTTGTTTCTTCAACTCTATTTCTATCTAATACTATAACTTCTGCCGAAAAGAGTTTTCATCTATTCTTCTTAGACAACAAATTTTATTACCTAAAATCAGAAAAGCCTTTCTTCAGATCACCGGCACTCTACTGTTGGTGGCGTATCACCTCTCTATACCAAAGATACAGTGCGTAGCTTTTTGAAACTTTTCAATGCTATAGTTCTTACATTGTTCCTATGACTCCAATATTCTTCCCTTTTAAAAACTACTTTGTGAACTATTTTTCATGACTCAAAGATTTATTTGTTGAAGATATAGCCATCTGGGCAACCAAGCCATCAACTAGACCAGAGGTTAAGTCAGTAATAAAAGCAAAGTCAATAAGACCCTTTGATCAAAAATTTAGAGTACAGTTTCTGAGTGACTAAACAGTTTTTTAAACAGAACTCATCTGGAAGTTCATATCTGGTCAGAATCTATGACAAGTCATATTACATTATAAATTACCATGGAGCAGAAATCATAAGGAGGCTAATGAAGCCAGTCCACAGAATGTCTTCCATTTCAACATTCACGAGGACCACTGTTGCATCTCTTCTTTTCGGTCTCTTTTTGCATCTTAGATACTCTTATGTATGAGAAAGATTTGTTCTAATTATTTTGATTTAAAAATAATCATTAAATAAAAATCATGGGTTCTCACTCATTCTATTCTTGCTAGAACTGAATTGATTTATTATTTTGTTTTGCTTAATTGGAAACCTGTTGGTGAGTGAGAATACAGATATCCCTCTAAGCTTTCATTTCCTTGAGATAAACGTGACTAGAGAAGGGATAGTTCTTTTGTATGCTTGCTTGAGTAGTTCTAGGCCATTTTTGCTTTAATTAGTTGTTAACATATTGTCAGGCATTTAGACATGATAAATATGTCTTATTGCCCAATAGTAAAGCCCCAAATTACTGTCTATTATATGCTAGACATAATGGCATTACTATAATGCCTTCATTATTGTTATAACTATAATCTGAAATTTGATTCTCTACACATGAAACTGAAGGATTCAGGATTCCACTCCAGGTCTATCTGATTCCAGAAACTGTATTTCTAATTATGCACTAAACCAACTGCTAACACTACACAAAAAGTGTTTAGATCTCCCATAATATTAACACTCATATTTGAATACGTAGTTAGGCTATTTTTGGTGTTTACACTTGTGTCTATGATAAGTCAGTCTCTCTCTCTCTCTCTCTCTCTCTCTCTCTCTCTCTCTCTCTCTCTCTCTCTCTGGTGTATGTGGTGCATGCACATGAGTGTATAGGTGTGTGCATTTCTGCGTGTGTATGTGGGGCCAGAGCAAGATACCAGATGACTTTATCATTCTCCATCTTACTGCCTTGAGAAAGGATGACACACTGAACCAGAAGCTTGTCTTTTTAGTCATGCCGGCTGTCCAGCAAGCTTTCAGGATCCACCTGTCTCTGCTTTTAACTTAAAGTAGAGGTTTGTGGGGTTATAGATATGTACAGCAGTGGCCAGTTTTTGTTTGTTTAATGTAGTTGCTGGGTATTTTAATTCAGGTCCTCATGATTGCAGAGAAAGTGTTCTAACCTGTGGAACCATCTCTGCAACCCCTATATTTATGTTTTTAGACAATGTATCTTACCCTCATCTCTATCAGCAGATTAGGTAGCAACAAAGTTTGAAATACTCTGTTCTTCTAGCTAAACATGAAGGAGAGGTGAGGGACTTGTGGCTTTATTTGATAACTATTTTAATAAGGAAGAAGTTAGAATAAGTCAACCTTCAACTGAGTACTCAAGATTATGGTTTACTGGAAAGTATTAAGAAAAGCTTGGATTTTCATTCTTTCTCTTTTAACACTTTATAGGAGCTTACCATCACCAGATTAGTGATAGGTAGGTCTCTTGGTAGTGTGCCTATGCCAGGCCTTGAGCAGTTACAAAAAAACATGGACTCTCATTTTAAATTTTGTGCCAAACCTCAGTTATCATCCTACAACTATACCAGGATAGGACCACAAGAACTTTATACCCAAGGCACAGTATTTACTAAAGCAAAATCTCTGGGAACAATTTAATTGCCTATCATAATGACTGGTTAGATAAATTAGATATAACACACCCAACATACTATAAACAATACAACCATTTTAAAAAAAGTGATTCCCCTGTTTTGTTATATATGATGATCTTGAAGACTCACAAAGCAAACAGAGCGAGGTGCAGGGCAGTGTGCAGACAAGGTGAACATAAAATGATAAAATACCTTGTGAAATGTTTTCATATGCAAGCATTCAGATAAATTGTTTAGAAGTTAATCACCACATTTTTTAGCAGCTGTCATATGAAAGGTCTAAATTCTCCAAGATCCTGTTTTAAGTTTGCATTGTATAAGACTTTTCTCTTCTAGCTTTCTATGAATACAGTGTGTATATTTTTCATTTTGCCCATGTTTATAACTATGTAGGTTCATCTTCTTGCTACTGTCTTCCCCCATCCCCAGATTGGTAAGAAAAGGAGTTACCTGCTGTGTTTAACGTCTCCTTTTACCTGATCCTGAGATAGTCAGCAGGAAGGGCAAACACTGATGCCTAGTAGAGGAGATGTGCAGAGATGGACATCCAATAACGGGAGCCTGTTAAACACTTGCTCCTTCCCCCTCTTAAAAGGCCTTTCTTTCTTTTCCATGAAAGGGTTTTCTGTTTCCTTTCCTCTATTGTACTTTACTAAGGACAGCAGGCCTCAGAATTGGCCTTCCTGGCATGTCAGGTGACACACACACATAGGAAAAGAGTTTCTTTTGGTGAAGGAGTTGAGACTTGTAGACAAAAGGATCACAGCCACAAACATCCTGCCAGGTCCCCTCTCAGTGAGCCAACAGAAGTTGTGTCCTGTTGGCTGAGTCCCTTGAAATTCAGTCACTTCCGGGAACACAAAACCAATGTATATTCTAGGACATCTGTACTATTTAAGGAAACTGTTGAGACGATGGTCAGTCACTAGTATCCTCTGCTCTGAACCTAGTGTTTTGTGGTTTTGATGTGGACTTTCAGAATACTACAGAATAAATGAATTGGGAAGCTTGTTTTCTCCTTTCCCCAGTATAAACATCAAATTTGTCAGGAAAAGATGCAGAGACAATTTAAATTTCAGAACTATGAACTTTCTTTAAAGACATATGACCTATTTCCATCCCAATCCATACAATATAGGTTAAGCAAAAATTGAAATATTCAAATGACTAACATGAGGAAGTAAGTGGAGCATGCTAGGGTTTATGGTTGCTATTTAGTGTTATTTTTAAATCAAACTGATTGCAGCCATTCTTCCTTGCATGTTGCTGTATTTAAAATACTACAAATTAATTATTTGGCATAAAATTGGCATGCATTTTTTTTGGCTCTCTTTCCACAAATCCTTTTCCTCATTCTGTTGATCATCAAGTACATTGGTATTACTCTTCTGGACTCTTTGTTTCTTCCAATAAGTATTGATCACTTAGATAATTATGAATTTATTGGGAACTATTTTGTTGTTGCTGTCATTTTTTTGAGACAGTTCTCACTCAGCAGCAGAAGTTTGGTTGGATAGCACTAGGCAGCCCAGGATGGCTTTGAATTAATGGGCATTCCTCCTGCCTTGGCCAGCCTCTGGAAAGCTTTGATTACAGGCATGAGCCACCATACCTGGTAGAAAAGTATCTCTGAAAGTAGTAATGTCACCTTCAATCTCATACTATCATAATCATTTGGTTTATCAATGGAGAATACATACATGTTCTTTAGTTACTAATGGCCTCACCCATAGATGATAAATTCTGTTATCATTTTTAAACATGCCATTTTTTTGTTCTCCCAGAACATAGACACAGTTAGATACATCTAAGATCCCAAACCAAACATTTATCTATGCTTGTAGCATTTCATGATATTAAGTGATGAATTTTATTTCAAGGACTATCACAGCCTAGAGAGAAAGAATCTAAGCAGAGACAGAACATCAGAAAATCAGCTAATATTTTCATGTTCAATTTAGATACCTAGCACTGGTCATTCCAAGAGCTCCTTGCATCCTATATTCTAGAAATAAAATAAGAAAGGGCTATATATTTAGGATCTATAAACTGAAATGCCTTCAATTCAATATAGAACATTTTTCAGTCAAGTCAACCATCAGTGCGTACACAAATTTACATGACTAGAAAAAAGACAATGCAGCACCTCTAGAAAAATAATTAGAAGTTTTGTTGCATTTCCAGGTAAGTACCACACTGAGAATTTACAACACAGTAATTTACTGCAATCACAGGGGAGTTCCATCAAGAAACAAAGTTCTTACACTCCAGATTTTTGGAAGGTATTATCGGAATGCTTAAGTATAAACACAAAATTTGTACATCCTTAGGATTGAGCTGACAAAAGTCATAAAGGATTTCTATAGCATATATTAGATAAAGGAGTCCGTTGTATATGGACAGCTGGTTTAGTGTCTCTGGCACGTGTGAAGCCTAGAAGAATTGCTGGCTTGATGGTGTTCTTTCTGTATCCGGCAAGACAGGCCTTCTCCACAGTAGCAGCGCTGGAAGATCTCCAATCCATGGGAGCCTTTTCTCCTGTGCTTGGTGCACACTTGACCTTCTTTGAGGACAGGTTTACAGATCTTGGACCAGAAGTGTCTTGCACAACACAGACCAGTGGCACAGTCTGATGATCGGAGACAGACAGAACCTTCTTGCCCTGTGAAGGAGATAGAAAATTACAGTTACTGCTAAACCTCATTCGTCAAGATAATTCTAAACACACTTCTGAGGTGCTAACAAGAAAGACAGCCTTAAGGTCTTCTCATCTACCTTTGGTGTGATACATTTTTGAAGACAGTGTAGTTCTTCTGGAGTATCCATCCAAGGTGCTGTGATCATTTCCAAAGTTTTCAGTGATGGTTTCCTCAATTTCCCCTCGAGGTAAATGACTGTGGTCAGAGGGCATGCATATTCCTAAGGAAGCCAGAAATAGTAGTTAATCCCCAGGTTGGAATGTGTTCTAGTTAATGGCAAAGGCAAGAGCAATATGTTATGCATACACCAAGGTGAGGCACCTCACTGCAGTGTCTTTCCTTTAACCCTCTTTCCTAGTGTTAATGCAAAACTTCCCAGACGGACAGAAGCATCAATGATCACACTGGTTAGGCATGTAAAATGCTTTCCCACTAATTGTGGTGGTGGCAGCAGTGAGATTTCTATTTTAATATCACCCTTAGGGCAGGAAAAAGAAATACAGTCACTTAAAAATTAATCTCAAAAATAACTTCTCTGCCCTTGGTGCTATCTGGGCACCACCAGACTAGGTTGGAGGTGATTCCAGCTGTCTGGAAGATTGCAGTCTCACCCAACAGTTACTTCACTGTGTAATTTCTGTATTATAGCGAGTTAGCTCACCCTGGAGTGCTGCTGGGTTCTAGGAGGCTAGCCACCCTGCGGGTTTATTTCTGGAGACCTCTTTGAGACATTAACATTTTGTGGATCTGTGGTTGGGGAGAGGAGTATTTATTTTAAGGTAGTTGAGGGTGGAGGGAAGGGGAACAAGGCCTGAGGGGTGTGGGGGGACTGGGCTCTCTTTTAAAAAATGGCCTGCATAGATTTATTATTTTGGCCCCTGGCTGAAAAGTTTCAACCTCCAGGGACCATGAGAGAAAGAACAGCCTGACAAAGCCATGAGAGTGACAGTAAGAGAAATGGAACTTGTAACAAACTGTCAGTTCTGGTGTCCTCCTTTCAGAGTGGATGGCCTCCCATCCTCTTCTTCAGGTGACCTAAAAATAATTTCTTTATGGAAGGGTCTACTCAGGAAAAGCGCTGTTGGATCTCCGATCACCAAGGGACACAGAGGAAGATTAGGAAATCCAAGGTCTTAAAGTTTCTCTGCCTCCCAGAGAAGCACAAATCAATGGAGACATTGCAGGGGAACTTTGCACACCAAGCACTGGTTTGCAGGAGGTGCTGGTGCAGCATTGACAGAGCCACAGCTTTTCCTTTCCTTCCCAGGCACTCAAAGGCAGGATGGTTCCAGTCAGAAAGCGAGGGCAGTCAAAAACTCACCATTTTTGCAGTAATTCCCGGGACAGCACATAGCGTGACGCATGCAGCGTTTCCGGCGCTTTCTGCAGGCCAGGCAGATCTGCACGCTGGCGGTCCCTGCGCGGCTGGGACTGGCGCAGTACTCGTCCGTGCCGCATTCATCGTCCTCGGCGCAGGGGTAGGGCTGTGGGAAGGGAGCGCAGTGGTGAGCCGGCCAGGCGTCCGCTACCCAAACTATGGCCGGTCCTCCTCTCCCAGGGCTCTGGAAGCGCACTGCCCTCAGCGCAGTGATTCCAAACGCGCCCGGAATCTCACACACTCAGAACATTCGACTCCCTCTTCTCCGAGACCCCTGAGTCACAGCATCCTCGGATCCCGGAACCCCTCTCACCTGGTAGTTGTCAAGAGTCTGGTACTTGTTCCCTCCCTCGTACAGAATTCCCGGGGCCACGCTGACTGCAGAGCCCGGTTGCCCGGCAGCGCCGCCCAGCGGCGGGGGCAGATTCTTAATCGCATTGGAATTGAGAACCGAGTTCAAGGTGGCGCCGGCTCCAAGCAGAGGGACGCTGCAAAGAGCGGTGGCTACCAACATGACCACGACCCGAGCAGCTGCAGCTGCATCCAGAACCGTCATCTCAAAAGGACTCAAGTGGGATCAAGTCAGAAAAAAGGGAGGTCACTTTGCAAGCCTAAGCCCGGGGAAAGCGTGCTGGCGGGCTGCAAGGTCCGGTTGGCTGACCTCCGACGTGGAGTCCCGACTGCAAGCCGCGCAGCTCAGCGCCGCCACCGGCACCGCGGATGCCTTTATACTCCGCCAGCCAGCTTTCCCGGCCCCTCAGGGGGAGACAACAAAGCCGGGATGGGATTTCAAAGCGTTGGGAGGGGCTGCGAGGGGGTGTGTTTGTGTACCCGAAGGAGGGGGGGGCGGCGGGGGGGACGGGGACGGGACTTTGACACTCTTCACCTCGTCCCTCCCAAGCACCCTGGTCCAATTGCTCCAGCTCACCTTCCAGGGACCTTATCAGTGAGCATTAGAGTCGCGGACTTTAATAAACCAGATGTGAGGGGTGACTCTGGGCACTTGGGTGCCTTTGCCCTGCATCAGGGGTCGGATTATTTCTATCTGAAAAACTTTCTGGAGTTGAAAGGTGATCGTGTATATACAAACCATTTTATTTCCCTTTCCCTTACGCCAATACTCGCTTATTGTGTGCACAAATAATATTCATTATTAAACACAATCGGGCCAGCAATTCAAAGGCTTTGCGAAAGGGCCAGGTGGCTCCTATAACTTGCTGATTAACCCTTTAGGGTGGCGATTTGCAGATGAGGTTCTTGTCTTTTAAGTTTGTCCAGTTGCTCCCCCTCCCCGCCAATCCAACCCTCTCCCCACCACCAGGAGAAAATAATGTGCAAAGACAAGGAAATTTGCACATCAAACGAGGATGCGAAGGGAAGAACTAATTCTCTTTTGATGGCAAGTTTAGAAAGGAAGGCGAGAGACGCGTTTGGAAATTAGATCAGGGGTGGAGGGAAGAGGGAAATGGGCACCCGATAATCAAACTATTTAATGTGGTTCTTTGAATCTGGTCAGTCCCAGCAGTAGATGAACTTGATTAGGCAGACACGTGAGATCAAAGTGGCCCTGAGCCAGAGCGGACAGGGTCCCTGCGCCCAGTCAGTCCGCTTGCCGGGTTCCCGGTTCCCAGCGGTGGGTTAATAGAAGGAGATAAGAAAGCCCGAAGGCTTAGCGTCAGACTTCCTCATTAGTCTTTCATATCGGCCAGCTCGAGAGGCTTGCGTTTGATCCCAAATCAAACCTTAGGCAGGATGGACGAATAACCCTCTGGGAGATAACAGACTACCTCGTGGAAAAGGAGAGCAGAATGTGAGGCCGAGAATGAATTTGATGTGGTTTCAGTCGGTGTATAAAATAAAAACGACACTGATGTGTAAGACTCCTGTGCTTGTAATTAATCTAGAGAATAAGATGTAAGTTATCTTTGTTCTAACCATTGAAATTATAAAAGAGACAGTAACAGTATAACAAGAGATAAGAAATATGCATTGATTATTTATTTATTTATTTATTTATTTATTTATTTATTTATTTTGGTCTTTTTGAGACAGGGTCTCCCTGTAGCCCCAGCAAAATCATTTGATAAGTGTGAGGAAATAAACAATTACTCTGTGAGACTGGAAAGGAAGGAATGGTTGGAAATCATGGCTTAAGACACAAAGAGATATATTTATTTTGTGTTTACCTAGCTTCGAGTTATCTAGAAATATTCCCCCCCAGTACAACAATAATTTCTGGGAAGGCCCCCCAAATAGCCAATGACAGTCTTGAACAAATATAATTCTGAAATTGAGAGAAGAGGGGTATTTAAAAAAACAAAACAAAACATTTAACAGCCTGTTTTCTGGTTTCTTGAGTTTCAAAAGTGCCATCTAAGCAATTTTCAATGGTGCCTCTAAAGACATTGGTGTCCCCCTGACCTCAAACTCCATCTATCTTGAGAAATTTCCTGTAGTTTATTAATAGCTCTTCTAAAAAGTTTGAAATGGCTTAAATCCTACATAGTTATCTGACTTTTATTAGGAACCTGTACAATGGAGTAGCTTTAGAAAAACTGAAAATTTGGAAACAAAGGAGTTTAAAAATTGTTGTTTTAAGTAAGCATCAAAAACAATAATAGAAAAAGGAATAAGTAAATTAACAATGAAACAGGTATCCCTGGCCCAATATCGGACATTCTAGCTTACACACGTTCAGGGAGATTACTGGGTAGATGGATAAAGGAATAGGAGATTTTAGGAAACAGATTATCATTGCAACAAATTAAGAGCAATGTTAGTGAGTGCCCTTGTAAACAATCTGTAAACCCATTTAACTTGTATGACACTGGAAAGTAGAGACTGGATCCCCTGTTTATTTGAGGAGTGAAAATGTCTTTTCCTTGTCTTGTTATCCTATTTAAATCCTATTTAAGTACTTGCAGAAATACATGTATGCTGCACTAAAGGCCAACCCCTTTCCCTGTATTCAGAACAAACCGTCCATGATTAATACAGTTGATCTTAATGAACTTTTTTCATTAAGAACTTGGTTTCACAGATAAAAATTTGTGGGCTAGTTTTGAGTCTCCCTATTTTTCATTTTCCTTCTGAAAATGTGAATAGGTCAACTTCTGAGATCTTACTCTGTGCTAAGTACTGCACTTGGTGCTGTTTTAATGAGTGCACGTTTAAGGAGAGAGGAAGTAAGTACACAAATTATACAAGGAAGAAATTACATAGGAGAAATTTGCTTTCTCATTGCAGTCTATTCTTCATTTGAGAATTCTTTCCATGACTTAGCTTGCTCACAGGTACCAAAATCAGATGGTAAAGAGGTCAAGTAACATTCAGTGCTTTTTCCATGGTGCCTATTATTCAGTGTATATTGTCAGTATCTTCAAGGCAGGCACAGAGCTTTCTCAGAAAGCTCTCAGTCTCTAAGACACAATATCATGGGCACTGGGGAGGATTTATGTTCTTGTTTGGTTTGGCTTTTTGTTGTTGCTTTGGGGTTTATTTTTTGAGACAGTGTCTCTCAAAATGTGCACTGGTATGGGCGATGCCTGTGGAGGTAAGAAAAGGGCTTTGGATTTCCTGGAATTGAAATTCAGACAGTTGTTAGCCACCAAGTGGATTCTGGTTATCGAACCCAAGTCCCTGCAAGAGCAGCCAGTGCTCTTAGCTGATGAGCCATCTCTCCAACCCCAGCCTTCCTACTATTTTAAGTGATGGGCATAGGCATAGAATATTGGTCAACCTTTACGTCCATTAGGCAGGGGGACAAATACATTAAAAAAACAACTATGCTATTTGCAAACTACTTTTCCATCATATTTATTTGAGGGTCTTATTTTATTTCCCCTCTTTCTTCTCTTCCTCATCTCCCTCCTTCTTTCCATATTTCTCTTTGTCAAGTCAAAGAAAGTAGAGTTTTTTGACATTTAATTTTCCTTCATTAAGAAAACATTGATCAATTGGTGGGTGCTGCTAGATTTTTTCTTGATGCCAATCTTGAATTTATGGCAGGGACTTCTCATTCCTGATGTTTAATAAAATCATTATGACTTTCTCATTGGCTTTTAAAAGATTCTTGGTCTTTATGCTCTTCATGAAGTTAAAAGAACTTTCAGATCCTGCCCATATTATGACTCCCTGAAATGGTAAATTTTCTGCAGTACAAAGAGAAAGGTAGATTTGGTGATTACCTTTATTAGATCCATGGAGGAGGACAGCTCAGACAAATCCTGTTTCAGGAGAGTGTCTAATCCAGCTCAGAAGATCATAAAGCCCAGAATCTTGGGATGATTTAATTAGAAACTGGTTAGGATGGTACCCAACCCAGATAGCTGTCTGCATCTTTTCTGATGTTTTAACATGCAGAAAGATCTTTAGTGTATAGGTTCTAGGAGTCCAACTGCCTTTGAATAACACCTGAAGGACTTAATATTTCCAAACACAAAGATAGGCCAATGTCAGCAGAGGGCAAGACCTCTGCATCCTCTTACTACAGCCCCCACTGACTGTCATATATATAAGTCACCAGATCTAGAGTTACCAGATCTAGAGAAAATTGTTTTCCTCTGTGTCACTGGGTTCCTATTATTACCGTCTTTATAATATGGACATTCTCCAAGGGTTCTGATGACAAGGGCTCATACCACCACATTGGATGCTGGGGCTAGAAGTCTGCACTGGACGCTTGAGGCTGACAACTGTCCCCTTGTCTCTGTGGATCTTGTTGACTTTTCATTTATAAATGAAGGTGGGAGAGCCCCCTTCTGGCTACAAAACCTTCCTCTCTAAAGCTTGCTGCACAGGCCTTTGGTTTGGTGTTCAGGTTAAAGCCTTTAGGTTTTATCAACATATCATTACCTTGGATTTGCTAATTTTAAAGAGCCTAACATGTAAAGTTTTAGCCCCTGGAAATATGGTTAATTACTTGAACTACTTGATTTTCTAAAAGATGTTAGTATATGTGAGAAAGAGGGAAAAGTAAGAGAAAAGTAAAGAGAGAGGAGAGAGAGAGAGAGAGAGAGAGAGAGAGAGAGAGAGAGAGAGAGAGAAAGAGGAGGGGGGGAGAGAGGAGAGGAGGAAGAGAGAAACAGTAGGGGAGGAGAGAGGAGAGGAGAGGAGGGGGTAGGGGAGAGGAGAGATTTTTTTTTTCCATCACAAAACTTGTGCAGGGTTGTAGAGATGACATTTTGGTTGTTCTTTTTTATTGACTTTTTGCAAATTTCATGCAATATTTTTTTTATTATATTTAGCTTCCTTCTTTTATCTGCATCTTCTTACTACAGCCCCCACTGACTGTCATATATATAATACTGGACCCTGGTCAGGCTATCAAGAATCACACCTTTAAAGGAGTCTGACTCTCCTCGGATGGGGTGGGGTTTCTTACGCACACCCCCACGTCTATGCTGGGATTTTTGACTGGATTGAGTTTATGCATGCTGTCACTATTGCTGTGAGTTCCTGTGTGTAACTGCTCGGCTGACTGGAAACTATAGCGGTGGCTTTTCAACTATCACTGTATTTCAAACTGGTGAACTACATTAGGGCCTGAAGATGAAAAAGAGCAGATCTTGCAGATCTTGCAAAGCGACTGAACTAAGATCTTGGCTGGAAAGAGAACGATTAACTTTTGGCCAGGGAAGAGGAGGAACATATAATTAGTGCAAAGATTCTTCTCCTTGAGCTGGGTTCTGAACCCTAGCCTGCACACCTGGCTTCCCTGAGGCCCAGGAGAGCCGATAACCCTAT